GGACGATAGATATATGTACGTGCGATGCGATGTGGGATCGTCCAGTCGGTTGGTCGGTCGGCCATAAAAGTACGAACGGAGCAATTGAAAACCTAGGGTAGCGTGTAGTTTATAGGTATCTCGCCCTGTATATTTCAGGACGCTGCAATGTGCGTTTTCCATCGTGCGTGGTCGTGCATTAGTCGAGCGAAGAGAAGCGGCACAGCAGGTATTCTCCGCGGAAATTCCTATTCGTATGCGCATCGATATGCGAATTCACCATGGTAATGCGATCGGGGAGACCGGGGCCGCCGACACCCTCGAGGGCGCTTACAATTTTTTTTTCCGGTTACCTTCGACTACCGGCTGCTGCGTGGTCGTTATGCGGCTGGGTCGAGGCATAAAGGTCGAAACTTTTTGAGGGCAAAACTTTGCCGCGCTCGATGCCTATCAGCCGAGGTGTCGTTCTTGTTTCATTCGGCGTGCGCACCCGGCCATTCGTCTTCCGTAGCGCCGATAAATTTATCCCCGTTCGCCGCACGTTCGGTCGACGAGAAGACGCGCGTCCTTTGACTCTCTTCCCCCCCCTCTCTCTCTCTCTCTCTCTGTCTCTCTCACAATCAGGTGGGGTTGGAAAGTTCTCAACCATTCCGTGTACCCAGGGTTGGCATGAAAGGTCGTCAATATCTATAGTGCCACCGATCTTTAAAAAGCCACGCACGTTGCACACAGAATGTCCCACAACTCAATTTTAATGACAGGTACTCTGACTCGATAAATCATTATATGTGGAAACGTCCGCCAAATCGCCATTATTTACAAGCGAGAAATATTTTTGCTGTTTTAATTCTTTTTACAACTGTTTCTCAGCTACGTGAATTATTTTTGGGTCCCGATCCCAATAACTCACGTCGCTCCTATGTGGCGACCACACACTTTCTCTCTCTTTTTCATTTCGCAGCATTGTCTGTAATCTCTAACCTTTTCGCCAGCGTCGATATGTTTGTTCCTCGACGTATGACGCGCTTTTCCAGGGGAATTTCGAGAGATCGATGCTCGTTGAAAGCATCGACACACGAGTGCGAAAGAAAGAAGAAGAGAAGTAATGTAAGTTGAAACGAAAAGTTCAACGGGGAGTTTAAAGAGAATCTGTTGCATGACAAGAATTTACGCTCTCTTTGTAAGAGACTTGTCTTTTTTTATTTTGTAATTTTGATGAGTGATATACGAAGCGGCTTATCTTTTTTTCTGATGCCCCACATAAGAAAGATAAACGGATATTCTCAAGGGAAAGCTCTTGCGTTTATCACGGTTGAAAGTCAAACGTCAAGGCCGGTTCGAAATAATTATGTTCCTGGATGGTCATTTGAATAATTTAAATCACTAAAAATTTATTTTTAGCTCGTGGAGAAATTCGTGAGAATCAATATCTTCTTCATTAACAAGATGCAATCCGATTTCTCGCGATTGGATTAATGACAAATCGTTGAGAAATGTCATTTAGAAATTCTCATTTTTCACAAATTTAGCAAACAAGATAAATGGGATGATCAGGGATCACAGAGATTATATATATTGGTGTATTTTAATTTATGGAACATTTTTGTTACGTCTTTGTCGAGAGAAAATTTTTTATGCTGTCTCGTAGAATTTCTCTCACACGATTATTCTTCTGGAAGTAGGAGATTTAAAAATATAATCTTCCATAGGGAGAAGACGGTCTGGAAAATAACCTTGTGAAGTCGTTTCCATTGATTCCAACTGTCTCGAGAATTTCATATCTTTGCTCCGCTGAACCGATTTAAAGCGATTCTACTTGGCATCCGTGATCCCCGAATGCTTATGTCGCGATGGTCGATATAAACCTGCCAATCCTTATCACGTTTTTCTGGCAATATACAGATCGGAATATTACAAACCGTATTTTTATGAGATCGTTCTGCTTCAATATTCAAGGAAATATCTCTCGACAAAAGTGTTGTATGTCAAGAAAGTATTTTGCAATATTTGAGTGGCAATCCAACTTTGTGCTTTTCCTCGGAAACTGCCAAGTACTTTGTCGGACAAACGTCATGCTTGGAAAAATGAGCTTCTGTAATGTTCACCTTAAGGAATTAGCACGGTTTAACGCGTCCGAGTGTGCGAATCTTAGACAATTATCGATTGAATTAGCAGGATTTCTCTCCGGCTGTAAGACTCACCGGAAAGCAACGTTTCTAAACTTGTAGAGTCCGGCATCGTGTACAAAACGAGAAGTAGATTGAGAGTAGAGTCGATTATACGGTAGATAAAAAGCACCAGGCATCACGAGAGGTTGCCCGACCTCCTTCTAGCCGCTCCTTCGTCGTTAGTGGTTACTGAGGAATTAGTGGAGCTTTTCCTTTTACTGCTCTTCTGCTCTCGCCTTACTTCTTCGCTTTTCCGTTCTTCTGCTTTCTTTCACCGGCACTGGTAAGAAAACCGCGAATGCGCCATCCGCTCGCGAGAATATGCGCTCATCTTCCGCGACTCCACTCGCGGTCCATCCAAACAAGTTAGTTTCATTTAGGCGAAATTGTTTGTCGATCCCGGTTGGTTTGTTTAAGCGCAAAGTTCTAAGCGGTTAATTCCATTTACGCCGATGAAGCGTCCCGCGAGAGTATCTTGTTTTTCCGTCCGTCATTGCTTCTGGCTGAAATTCTAGGTAACACGAGTTACGGACTGTGAAGGCTGATCACGGAGAAACTTTTACATGAAAAATTAAACAATACAAAGATGAGTTTGAAATTTAATGAAACTGTAAAAATTAATAGAACCCTAGACATTGTGTTATTTCGCTGCGTTTTGTTTTATTTTTATTAAATTACATAAAGTATTATTTGTTTCTACAAAAATTTTTGCGGTAATGATAGAAAATTATTATTTTGAAGAGTAAAGTTAAATAAACTTTACTTTTTCTATTTCAAGATTCTTTTCTCTATTATACAGCAACGTCTGTTATCTTACGATATAACCGCCACAGTTCTAGGGAACAATATCGTGTATTTAATACAAATAGGTAATTTTGTGGTAATATATATGCAGTTCTTCTCGTTCTTTCTAATTTTGATTTTAAATCCTACAATTTCTATGCCACCAGGCTTAGGACTACTTTTGCATCCGAATAGGCAATTCTGTGCCGATCGATCATTTCCGGACGGTAAATTGAATGGTCGCGATCAGTAGAAGTCACGCGATGCGACCCTCGAGCTTCACCATCGTGAAATTCGGGGTAACTCGTAGTATGCAAAGCGGATCGCCTGTGACAGGGGGCCCGATGTTAATGGCACGAAGGTTTTACTTCGAAAGAGCACTTCGCGCACACGTTCGATCCGAGTGCCAGATTTATCGAGCTAAAGTTTCATCATACGTTCATAAAAAGTCCAAACAAAACGTGCACAGTGTTATGCATTAATTACCGCGTAGGGGGTTAACGATAATTGAATAGCCTGTTGCTAAAAGTGCAATTAAGGCAATGTTTCCTTTTCTCAAATATCGTTAATTCCTGGTTCTCCAATGATTAAAAAAAAATACCAATTCCGTTATCATTAAAATATATAAATTAAAAATCTGCTCCGAGCATATGAGAGTTTCTCAATTTATTTATTAACGTTTTACAAAGATATATAATTGTGTTATGTAATTTTGAATTTTGCCGTAATAAAAGTATCATGTTTCTGCCCCGCCCGCTTCTGTTAATTACCTCGTGGATACACTTTTATTAATTACCTCGTCGATGCACTCTCGCTGTACCCGCGTACACGATGGTGCACGGACACAAATCAATATGAGCTATTTGTAAATCGCCTCTCGCTTCTGTTAACTGTTTATCGATACTGCAAACGATCCCCACGCTTGACTAACCGTTGCCTGGCGCCCCTCGCAATAACGCTTTAACGCTGATAGCTTCCTATCGAAGAGCCTTCGAATCTTCACGTACATGTTCGATTAATGTTGCAATCGATATACTTCGTATGCACGTCAAATATCAAAGAATACTTTTTTATAAACTTGCTCGCAGTTACGCTGTAAGTCAAATGCTTGCATTCTTAAAGAACTTTAAAAATTTTTAAGGACGAAATCATTTAAGTTATTCGAGTTTGAAATTACGTCAAGAAGAATTTGTTATTTCTTTTTTAGTTTATGAAAATTGCAATATTTTCAATTATTTATAATTAAGAGAGTGTTGTGTTTAAACTAGTTTCTAAAAAAAATATCGAACTAGATTTCCTTAAAGAATGCATAGATAAAAGGAAGCGTGGGAAATCTGGGACACGCTACGTACGTCCGTAATTACATTGCAAATGGCTTTTGAGAAGGATATGAGAAAGATGACTATCGTAAGATGACTTCAGCTGACTTCCGTCAAAAGAGGAATGAGATAATTATAGAGTAAGAAATGTTAACGTACCTATGTGTAGAATTATACCGTAATACGTTTCGTGTGCGAAAATTCAAATACATGTGTTTTTTCGAATAGAGACACAGGGGAATTTAAAGTTTAAATAACTTATAATAAAGATAATGGCAATGTTTAAGTTTTGCCAGACGTGATATAATTTCCAGGTCGAGGACAAATACCGTATAAAGTATAAAACTTTCGGAGTGAAATAGGAAATATGATATATGATATTTTGACATCATTGAAAATGTAAAAACGCACCAAGTCGATCCGACAGACCCGTAAAAATTGGAATAAATTCGCGTACAAGAAATGCACCGGTGGTAACGGCAGCGAGTCGGTGAGAAGAGTGATCTCGATGTGCATACAGCAATGCCGGGAATGGTGCACACGCGCGCGTGTCTGATCGTGACACGGGAGGGTTCGTTTCCCGAGGGAACTATCGAAGAACGCCGTAGTCGTCTTCTTCTCGATCTTCAGCTTCTCTTCGCGTCCCGCCGTCCTATCGTTTCGCGCCGCGATTCTCACTTTCTCGAGAGGCTAACACCAAGTGTCGATCCTTGTCGCCGGCGATCTCCAACGGTTTCTTCCTTCTCTTTACCTTTCCCCGTTCGAATAACGAAAGCGATGAAGGTCGACGACACGAAGGTAGAAACGCGATTCTCCATCTCAATGCTGTGCCGCAGCAGCCCTTTTCTCGATTCAGCTAGTCGCCTCTCGCACTCTTCCCGACGAAACGACAAAGCACTCTCCCCGGGCGTCTCGTATTGCCGAATCGTTGTAGGAATTGCGCAAGGATATTGCTTCTCTAGAATTCATAAGGTTGCCGAGATACAACTTCGTCGAGGCGCTTTGCAAAGACGTGACATGGTAAGGCGGATTGAGCACGAATGATGATTACTGCAATCATTCATACTAAAATGTGGTAACTTTAACCCAGTTGGGATAACTTTGGCCCAAATTTAAAAAAAAATGCTTAGAAAGCACGCGTATCAGAAATCAGGACATAAAACCTTTCTTTAAAACGTTTTACGTTCCGAATTTAACACACGTACTGTCTGGGCATTATCAAAATTTGGGTCAAAGTTACCCCGATTTTGGATCAAAGTTACCTCAATTTAAGATAGTAAGATTTGTATAAATATAAATAGATGAAGAAAATTTAGCGAGCACAAAATCAATCTGTGCGACCATGACAGTATGAATAGATTTCTCTTTAAGCGTGGATTAAGAATAGCGTGGAATAAAAATAAGGGATGAAAATATGTATAATGCCGAATGTGTTGATTGAAAGCACGTTTTGTGAAGCATTCGATATCACCACTGCGTGAGAAATACGAAATGACGTGTTAAAGTTGAAGTGGATAGAACAATTAATATAACTAGGAAGATTATAAAGGAACTTATAAACTCTCTAAATCTCATGAAGTAAAATCTCACTCGAAGAGACTAAAAATTTAGTCTGTCTTGAAAAAAGAGTGAAAATCTGCCACTCTTGAACAAGATTCGAGTGGCCATATTTTCATTCTTTTTTCAAGACAGGTTAAATTTTCAGTCTCTTCGAGTGAGATTTCACTCCACGAGATTTAGAGAGAATGCTTTTGTGTATATGTATATGAAAGAGTTAGAGATTAAGAAATCAAATAAATGAAGATCTGTGTGTTAGAAATAAATGAATGGATGCGAATATATTGTAGTATTTTGAGCACGCAAGAGGGATACCACAGCTAGAAAAATTACTCCGATTTTGAACGGAAACTGATAGTAACTATGACTACGAAAATCCGACTAGTGATCTAAATCGTGACTGGGTTGCCTCGAGAGTTTCTCGCTTAGTCATGGGTTAGAATCATTGCGAGGGCAGTGATTTATAGCTAAATGTTAGAGATCCCTTAACGTTGTAAGTCATTCTCTTTACGCACTCGTACTCTTTTCATCAATTTTTCTTCAGTCTATATTTGAATGGACGATTTCCCGCGAGTCTCCTTTTTCATAAGACTGATAATCAAGCTGCTCGTGACATCCGACCCTGTCCTCCGTTGTTCTTCGCGCACTTCCGGCTGCGACGGATTTACGACGTGGCCGTACGCTCGTTTCGTGTCGTTAGCCGAAGGGTCGCGCGGATAAATGGCGTGCCGCCCTGATGAAAAAGTTTCGTCGTCCCTCCTCGCACGGCGAGCACGCAGGGGAGGTGAGAAGAAAGGGAAGGCTGAGCAATAAATGAGTTTACTCTGTTCACCTCGTTGTGTTCCGAGCTGGTAACAGCACGCTTATCATAGTAATCGGACGATTGTCAGATGGTGGTCCCACATCTTTAATTTTTTGGCTGAGAGTAAAAAGATGATGACGTCGACAAATGTTCATTTGTTGCGTATTTTGCTTTTATAATTGTGTACACTCTAAATCCGTAGCAATGAAAATTTTACTGCTAACAAAAGTGAGTAACAAAATCATTGCTTTAAGCGTGGATGTTCACTGTTTTGAAGTTAATCTGTCTACTCGTACATAAAGGAGTGGACTATTTCATTCGAAGTGGTTTAAGCATTAGTTGATAATGCATTGCAAGATGCATTGAATGTTACTGTAAGGAATGAATTTAGCAATATATTGTCACGGTTGTTATGAGCGAGACGCATCTTGAGACACATATGACATAAACATAAGAGACAGATTAATTAATTTTATAAAAAATTATATACGTATATACCATTATATCATTAAACCATTATTTTACCATTAAATAGATTAAATTTATAACGTATATAATTTTTTCAAAAATTTATAATTAAAAATAAGATTAATAAGTTAATAGATTGATAGTATGCTCTGTTCAAAATCTGTCTCTGCAGGCTTTGCTATTTGGGTTTGGACATTATTCTGTCATTATTCTAACCTCCAAATTCATTCCTTTTTGGAGTAAATTTTTCACTTCAATTATCGAATGGATTTTCCATTTCCATCTTGCAGTAAAATTCACTGGTAGTAACATTGGCGCAATTGCCACTAATGCCTGTATTGAAATTTCAATTTAATGCAGTGAAATTTCATTGCAACAGATTTAGAGTGTACATAAAAGATATCAGTCTGTAATTTTATTGATCATTTATCGTTAAACGCGCTATTACTTTCTCACACTCAGCATTTCTTCATAACATAATTCAAGTCGTGGGTATTTCTTTGTCAGCAGATATTCGTATAACCCGTTCTGTCTACGGACCACTGAATTATTGGTGAAAATTCAGCAGCGAATTTTAAAATCGTTCTATTATGGCCGCTTAATGTATGCATGGAACGCTCGAAGGCACGGGAGCAGATTATACGGTATAATAATTGGAATAATATAGCGTGTGTGCGCCTCGGATCGAAACAATTTTGCCGCAGTAATTAATAATGCGTTAAATAACGCGTTCTTTGTCGGGATCACAGCGTGTGTGCCGTAATTCCCTACTGTAAATACAATGAATGTCATATTGCTGCCTGCGACCAGAACCCAGCGCCGTTTCGAAATTAGCTATGTATGACCTATTTACTTGCAAGAGTAAAGTCTGCTATGTTTCACGGTTAAAATGAGCCGCCGACGATTGTCAACTGAGTTAACCAGAGACAATGAAATATACAGATACTAAGAATAGTCTAAGTAATGTTACTACCATGAACTCCGAAGAAATTTAATCAGAATGATCGAAGATGTTTTGTGAGAAATTGTAAATATATTATAAAAAGCAGAATATTATTTTATATTATAAATTTGAATAGATTCGTAACATATCGAGGAGGTTAATTACAAAGATATTTAAAGCTGAAATTCATTGCGAAAATAGTCATAATGAAAATATATTTATCAGTTAAAAAGAATTTTTCGATGTAATAAATAGTGCAACGAATTGGGACATGTATAACAAGCTAATAATACGAACATTGAAATGTTCGAAGATTATTTTTCCACGTTTTTAATCGACGCTTTATTAAAGCAAAATTTTTGTATTTTTGATGTACCATTCATTCAATATGAAGCTATTATGGGTGAGCTATTATTAAATGCGAGATACTAGATTTATTTAAATTCCTCTCGTTCGCTCGCGCGATTTGAACTCGTTGCAATTCTGTATTAAGCATCTCTTAAAATTTCTCGAACACGGCATAATCAAATAGATGGGCGGTGATGCTGATGATAACGAGGAAACTTTCATATTTTCGGGACATTACGAGGACTCGGCAATTTTATCGTGCTTCCACGAGAGATCGCCTCTTCCGCACGCTAATTCGTGTCCGAGTGAAAATGAACTTACGATACAAAAGCTTGCGCAATGAAGTATCGAACACGTGCTTTGTTTCTCGCAGATATTCGATTTGTATGGGACGTTCGTACTGTCGGTATACTACGCGGACAATATGCAGATAGAATGGAGCCGTAGAAAATAAGACAACAAAGAAATATAACTGGAGAAAGAATTGATTTTCGATTGCTGCGTTTGCCTGTGCGGGTCATATTAATATTATGCTTTTTTGAGATTCTGCTCTAACTTTGCATTGTACTACTTTAAACTACATATATACGTACAAAATATATCTAAATTCCGTTCGACGCACTGTTTCAGTATATGTTTCCAAGAGAGCCTTAGCCTATTAGTTGAATTATCAGAGTATAATAGTTTTTATACTAATGATGCATCTCATTTCGCTTTAAATAAGAGAAACTAATACGAAAACGAGTAAAATCAAGGATATTACATACAAAAGCATAGATAACTAAATAATTCATGATAACATACTTCTACAAAGAAACTTTTGCTTACTGTGTTTGCGGCAGTGGGAACGAGGGCAGAACGCATGAACCAACGTAGGAAACCGCTGAGCAAAATATGGTTCACAAAGAGCGGATGATTTAATGGTAGAAAAACTCTCGCGCACGTTCCTCCCGCATCAGATCAGACAATATCCACGAGCCCGGGTTCCGGTCAGTCGGTCCACAAAGCTAGACGGCTAGCTAGACTAGGACAAAATCCCCCGGGATAGCAAAAGCGACGGATCGAAAATCGAGTCAGTCTCCCTCTTGCCTTTCTCCTCCGCTTGCCATCCGACTGCGAACCGAGAGAGCTATAGTATGCCATCAAGTTGCAAGAGATATCAGCTCTTTGAGGAAGAGAGCTCTTTAATGCAGTATTAACCCTTAAGGTGCATTCACATGCAAGCGTCAAGCGTTAAGCAGCAGGAGCAGCAATCAATCAGCTGGGCGATACGGGCAGTGGTGTAAAAATTGCCTCGTTGATTGGTTGCTGCTTCCGTTGCTTGACGCTTGATGTGAATGCTACTTGCATGTGAATGCATCTTTACTGATGTCACACATAGAGACCGGAAGTTTCTCTACAGCGATATAATCGAATCAAAACAAGAGAATTAAAAGACTATAAGACTATAAGACAAATCAAAACAAGAGAATTAAGAAGACTATAAGACAATGAGACAAAGTTACGTAAAATACGTAGCAATAACTTTCTAACATGTAAGAAAGAGCAAAATGAGATTTAAAGAAAAATGATACGGGGGGGTATTTAGATTAATTAAATACGTGTAAAGATAATCTTACAGGTACATCGATATTCGATTAAATAGTTTATTACAATAAATTATGATACTAAATTATTTAAATAGTGCGCGAATAATTTATTAGTATGTAGTGATTAATTTCGATAATTTATTTAAATAGAAATAGTTATACGGTTAATTATTAATAAATAATTCTATTAAATTATTAGTACGAAACTCTTGGTTCTAATTCGTGCTTTAACCGAGTTACATTTACTGAGG